AAACGTCGTAGTATGAGTTAATAATTGACTCCTGACATATTGTGTTGATGCTTAGACGTCAGAGTAACAGTTCCCGCCACGAAGGTGGCTGTTTCGTGTTAGCTTCATTACTTAAATAATTATACTAATGAATGAATGCATAACACAATAATTAATGAATGACACTTTATTACATAAATGTTTTATTTTACAATATAAAGAATTACAACATGACTGTTAAGTGATGACAATACAGTGCAACTAAATGTGAATGTAATTTAAAATAAATTAATGAAAATAAATATCCTCATCACACAGTGGCCAAAGTCGCCTAGCCCGTAGCTTAAGGCTTTTATACTAATTATAATCCGCTTCGTCTTAGGTCCACTGAAAAGATAAGATTCGCATTTCAAACTAATGACTTAACAGCATATTTGGCGAACGACGAAGTTACAAACGTGAAACTAAACCAGCTGTATGCAAACATTGTTGAGTACACTACAACTTTAGTACCACCATACAAATATACAATATATATATTATGTAATATGTATAAACAAAGTTAATATAGTTAGCAAACTACAAGTAATTATTTGGTAGGCACTAGGACTACTTACTTATATTATATAATTAAATTAAATCATTTCAGAAATCGATGGTAATTTCGTGCATATAATTATTATAGATACAAGAGCCACATGTAGGTATCTTGAAGTACCAAACTCATAAAAAAAAAAATGTAAAAATGGTTTCTTGTGGACTCCGGACGTAAAACAGATAAACATAACAGTTCTGACCTCTAGTTCCAGGACCATAAAAAAAATTTTGTGAATGAGTTTCAAGGCATTTAAAACAGGAAATAGTCTGTGGTAGGAGATTTAGAAATAGAACTTTGGTAATCTCTAAACAATAATAAATAAAATATAATATAATATATGATACGAATATGATAAATATTAAATATATTAATAATAATAATAATAATATATAGTCATAGTTATAATATTAGGACTGCGTTGAATTTTAAATAAGAATCGAAGGGATATTATCCTAATAATTTAAAACTACTGTATTTTTACTCCTCTTGGACTTATAATGATATGTGACAAATACAAATATTACAAATCCCTCGGCAACAGTGGCCTAGAGGCTGAAACACACTAAAATGTTCAAATGTCGTGCTTAACAAAGTTAAAAATTTGAAATTAAAACCTATTCAACGTTAAATTCGATTTTTATTTATTTATATTAAAATATGTTTTATTGATGTTTAAATAACAAACAATGTTATACGAGAGAGCAGTGCAGTTTTTGCTGTACCGATCTATGTAAATTACAATATTATTATAATCGACCGGTGGCGGCGTTCTCTAAAAAATGAGAAATAAATAATGTCATTATTTTGTGTTCAAAGTTATTTCGCCAACTGATAATCAATAATATTATGACTATTGTTACACAAATAACTAATAAGTATTAACTACGTAGTTGTGGCCTGTTCTGTACAACACATTAAATAAGTTAAAGATTATTTCATAATATTATGTTATAGCTAGGACGATAATAGCAAAGTACTTAAATAAAATACCTACATATTTTATTCCTCATTATACAATATAATAATATAAAGGTTTAGACGTATTATAGTACAACATTTTTGTATTTATTGATCATTTTTACTTCAAAGTATAATGGAAAAAGTATTTTACTTTTTAGGGATGTACAAGTCCCTTGAGCATATCCCTAGTTGATGGACACATGCTCACCCTCCTTTTTTACTTTAATAATGCATTTGTATTAAAAATCAATCCAAACAAATGCATTACCTACTTATTTAGTAATGTCAAAATCAATGTATATAATATGGTTCAATATAAATAAATATATTTATTCATTTAATCATACATAATTTAGGTATTATTTATATATATACATTGGTACTGGGCCCGATAGTGGGACGTTCAAAATTCAAAAGATTTGGGCCAGTTCAATGAAATTTGGAATCAGAGATTTGGGCCGGTCTATAATAGGCGGACAGCAGCCCGGTAAGTAATTTCTTCCCAATCCGGCACTGTGTATATCTATTGCAATAATGGGTGTATTACAACTTACATTAATGCTTCACTCAGTAATACTGGGCTAACATATAGGTACTGACCGGTTGACGTCTGTTTGGAGAAGACTAGCATAATTGTCATTGTGAATACGCATAAAGAGTTTCATGTCATCGGAAAATATAAGATGGCGTGCGTGACATATAACAGAGGCCGCACTATTTACATATAGAGGAAACAATAACGGTGAAAGAATAGCCCCCTGAGGTACACCAGATGTCGGATATACTATATACTATATTATGTACCTATTCTAACAAACTGTTTTCGATTTGTCGATTTATAAAACATAAAAACAAGAAAAAGTTATATTTCTCGAAACTACTGAGTTATTATTTATTGCTTATTCCCTTTTACCGGTTTAAGAGGGCAGTAGTTGTATTCGTACATAAGGATAAGATGATAGTTTTATTGAAAAAACTACTGCAGGCGGTGATAGTGTACCTGAATTGCCTATCTAACGCGCCGCGTTTACACAAATCTATTACTGAGATTTGAAATATTGAACAACGTAAAAAAATAAGTAACAAATAATTAATTAGTAAGTAGTAAGTACTAGAAATAATAATATATATTTTTCAAAAATATTATTATTTTGACTAGGTTATTGGTTCAGCTTTAGTATAAAAAAAATTATATTTACTGTAACATGGCACAAAAGCATCAAACTGAGTTCGAGGTAGATATGTGAGGTGTGACTTAAGAGTCGTCTTTATAGTTTATAACAATACGTGTGTATAGATTATCGTGTATTAAGTACGTTATTCAAATTGAACATATTTATTTTTTTTTAATAATTATAAAAAATTCATAAAAAATTTAAATCTTACTATAGAACCTAATCTAACCTAACCTGATCTATCTATATAGGTACAGTTAAAAATAGAGAATGAAAAAAAAAGATTTATGTTATTACATAGATACTAATATAGGTTTTATAAATATACATTATGAAATACATTATAAGAATAACTATTCGAGTATAAGTTATTTAACATAAAAATTCCTATTTATATAAATATATTTTGTTTTCAAATTTTTAAGGCATAGATTTATAATAGGTCGTGGCAAAATAGTCCACACATTTTTTACCAAAAGATTTCTTAAAATAAATACCTTTGGCGTTAAACTGTAGATATTTTCTTTTTTCGACATTAATAATTACCCGATAATTAAAATTTTTATTATCCACATTACAGCTATATAGCAATATTCGAAATAAATAAATAATTAACAAACTTATTCAAATTGCCGTATACACGTAAATAATAACCAAAAGATAATTAAAAATATATATAAACATTAAGGAAATAAAAGCAAAAAAAAATTATTCAACGAAAAATTTCCTTATTTTATATTATATTCCTATTTTTACGCAAAATCTGTTTTCGAGAAAATCGATTTTGGTTTTTTGCTCAACTCTAAAACAAATGACCAAAGGTACATGAAATTCTGACTGAATGTTTATATTAGCATTTTCTATACATCACATAACATTTTCGGAATATTTTGACTTATTTTGAGCTGTTTACAGACATTTTCAGTTTCCATTTTTTCAGTTTTTTTTTCTCTAAATATCAATAAAATTTTATTTGTTGGTTAAAAAAGCTTGAAAATTAAATAGAAGGCTCCTAGTATATTGTTTCAAAGACAGATGAAAAAAATTAAAAATCTATAGTCACAATTTTTAGGTTATCCAATTACTGGCCAATAAAGTAAGATCTAATGTCTTAATTGGACTTAAAATTGCAAAATATTATTTTATAGTTATAGATTGCAGGCCAGATGTAAGCGATAATGAGCAAATGACTAATATTTTCTAGTCTGTTATATTAATGTTTGGGTATCTTAATCTTGGCTATTAAGCTGACATGCTGTTTTATATTTTTTACAAACATTGGATTATTATTTTCACATTTATCATGCTCTGTCTCCAAATGTGTGTTAATAAAACGGTTTGTATTAATTGAAAATGTATCTAATGAAATTACTATACATAATAACACTGTAGTAAAATAATTAGTATAAAATATATTAATTTTTATTACACTTTGAGACATTTTTCATATTACTAGTTAATAGTAAACTTTGTTCATCCTATAAAATAATTTATTGGGCCAATACTTTAAAATTTCCATTAAATACAATTCACATTTTATACCAAACAAAAATAGTGTTATGCGGTGGCCGAATAAGATAGAATTTATAGTTTGATTGTTATGCTTGGAGAAATTTGAATTTTATTACTTAAACAATATGCAAATGCAAACTGGTTACATATTCATATTTCTTTCAGTAAAATACAATCAATATGTTTGAATTCATATTACTTTAATACTCAACACATCTGAATAAAATCCTCTAATTAACAAATCATGGAAAATTACAAAATATGTAGTATATCACGCATATCTGCTTATAGTTTAAGGTAAATTAATTTTATTTTACAATAATGTGCTAAAAATATTACATTTAATATACATATAGTTCAGTTAAAAGTAGAAAATATAGAAACATTTTCAACGATAACATTAAATACTATTCATAAAGTTTAAATAAATACTTTATCAGTCTTATTTGCATAAAATATAGATATCTAATGAAAAAAATGCAGTGTTAATAATCAAGATTTTAAAGAAAAAATATGTATCGATACGTATCGGGTCAATTTTGAGTATTCAAGAAGTTACACGTACAATATATAAGTGATACGTACCGACCCGTATAGGACTCATATTTCAATACGAGTCGGCACGATTGAACGAAACTAATCCTTGTCATTAAATTTTTCTTCTTGAAAATCTTGAATCTTTTTTTTAAATTGAAACAAAATTAATCATTCTACAAATTAAAATATTAAAATAATCTATTTCAAAACTTCACTTTATAGTATTTTACAAACTTAAATTACTCTGAAACACTATCTAAAACACTATCTGATTCACTGGGATCCACCAAAATCATATACCTTGATATAGAATTACACAAGAGTTCTTCTTCATCGCTATCATCATCTTCATCATCGTCATCATTATCATCATCTTTATTATCTTCACTTTGATTCACTTCAGCTTTTTGAGTAAGTGACAACAATTCTAACTGTCTGGGCATTTCTTCTTTATCGTAATCCTTGGATTTTTTCTCATCAATCGAAGTCAATTTAAGTAAGTTATCAATTTCCTTGTATATTCTTTCATTAACTATAGTTTTTAATAACGCTTTAGCTTCTTCTTTGGTTTCTGCATAGTTTAAACATTTTTGTGCATAATGAAAAGCTTGATCAAAGTTCATACGAGTCAGATTGTAGTTTGCAAGGAACATATAAGCATGGCTGTGATCTCTAGTCTGTTCATCTAGTCCATGTTCTTCAATATATTCTAAAAACATTTTTGCAGCATCATCTGGTCTATTTATAACTACGTACAACCTGGAGAAAAAAATTACATCAGCATATGAGGCAACAAATTAGCTAAATAATATAATTTGAACTCACTTTGCTAAGTATATGAGGCCAAGCTTTTCATCATCACCCATTGCCCGCCCTTTTAGATAACTTTGAAATGCCATGTCGACATTACCTAATTTTTCATAAACATTGCCAACGGCAATTATCATACGGCTGTCAAACGGTCTCAGTAGCTGTGCTTGCTTGAAAAAATGAAGGCTGTGTTTGAACATTCCAAGTATTTCATATGTTTGACCCAAACCATACCATGCTCTGTACTCGTATTTGTTTATTTCTGTACCAAAATCATGAAATTAACTATATTTTTATAATCTTTTAACATTTTAATGGATATTACAACACACACCCAAAGCTTTGCTGTAACTCTGTATGGCATCGTTTGAATTTTTAAGTTCCATATATTCTTGGCCAAGTAGTGTCCAGGCAGCCAAGTATAGAGGATTCAATTTAAGAGCGCGATGAAAGTAACGCATTGCTTTTTGATGTTCCCCGTGAAGACTATAATAGTTTCCCAAAATACAACAGGTTTCCACACGATACTTATCAATTTTAACTGCCCGCTGAGCAAGATAAGCTAGTTCAACTCTTTGATGTTGCACATATAATAAATTTGAATAAGTATCCATATTTTCCAGTCGACAAGGTTCAATTTCAATGAGCTCTTGAAACTTTTGAACTGCTATTTCAATGTCTATAACATATTAAATATTTATTGGCATAGATTGAACTAGTAATTATGTCTTATACTTACATCTTTTGTTGTGGTAACAAACTGCCACCCTAGATTGGAGGAATATGCTATCACTGAAACCACAGTTGAACAAATACTGTGTCATACCCAACATCTGTTCATTTAACTGCAAGTCTAAATATTTTTGACAGTAGAAGAAGTTTTTCATCCAGTGATTGGGTAATTCTAGCTTTGATAACTAAAACAATACAAATATTAATTGTTGGCAAATAAACTAGTTTATAAATAATTTATTTTATTTTATTTACCTTAACTCGATCTACAATAAGATCCCCAAGTTGCATCCACGCATGCCAATTGAGCGGCACCTCGTTTATAGATTCCACAAGCATCTTAACAGCTGCCTCGTATTGTTCTAATTTCACATATACCACACCAAGTAAATATGTCAAATACCCATCCCCCCTTTTTTGTTGTCGTATAGACTCTAGTAGCTGAGATAAATAGTCTAGGAAATTTCGATATTCTTTAAACATGGAAGGTGTCGCTTCACTACCAATGTTTTTAATATTACTGTCAGCAGCCAAATAATCTGAATACATTTTCAGAAATAATGGTATTTTTGAATAACAATTTTTCAACCAAAATGATGCTCTGAAAAAAAAGTTATGTCTCAGTAACAATATTGCATAATATAGATATTGGATTTTAAATTTTAAATACACAAAATACCTTTGATATTCTTTTGCATTGTAACATGTTCGGGCATGAAGATATAGTTCCATTTCGTGATATGCTATTGGAAGTTGGTCTATGGAATATAAATCTGTAGGTTTTGAAACCGGCACACGTTTAGGTGCAGAGGTTAGACAACTACGGGTGATTTTTGGTCTCTTGTACCCTTCTATCTTTTTGGCTAATGGTTTTGGATTATTGCCGACCTCGAGTGATAAGAGAAGATCTGCAGACCTGGCCATGATGAAAAAAATATATATTATACATTGTTACTTACTAAAGCTTAGCAGTAATTAATTTAAAAATATTACAAAATCAGTAGCTTTAAAATTACTTTTGTTCAATAGGTAGTAACTATTAATTTTTATTAAATAGTATTAGGTATGTCAAGTTTATTTTTTCAATAATCTTATAATATTAATAAGTTTTACATCATGCGTAACACCATAACTTAAAAAAGTATGAAGCAACATTTGTATCAGAATTAAATTAAGATACCAGGGAATCAGAATGAATTTTATAATGTCGTTTAGTCAAAATAATTTAAAGCAACAGAACTGTTGTCTTATAGCCATCAATATTAAGTAGAAGATGATAATAATAATAATAACAGATTGTAACTTTTATTAATGAATTGGTCCCTGAGTAGCCAACAACTCACAACTCTCACTTCTCAGAAGGGTCAGTTGCACAAAGTACATAACAGTCGAGTAGACTTCGGAGATGCGCAAATCAACAGGAAAACTTAAAACAATTAAGGAACTCACCACTGGCAGCTGGTTTTCAGACCTCGGGCATACAGTTCGTTCATGCTGACGAGGAGCTCTTTTTTGACGTCGTCCATTTTTGGAACGAGACAACCGACTTTTGCCACATCGACGTCCATAGCGTAGTTACTCATAACAACTGAAGGAGAGCAGACTACAGCCTACAGGCCGATGTCCAACCTGTATTTTTATGAAGTTTTAAGTTCCAACCGTTTAAAAGTTAAAATGTTTAAGCCGTACTCCGGTCCGCACTAGGTAGTCAACCGTTCGCATAGGCCATGCCGACTGATAAGCAATGATAAATTATCGCCGACCACTGATAAGTGATAAGCTGATATGGCGGTAAAAAGTAAATAAAAATTGCAATTTGCACTTTTGCGGTGTTCAAAATGACCAAGATCGGCAAGATCACAATATCACAGTCAACTTGTCAGCAGAACAATAGTGTTATACAGTGTAAAACATTACAGCAACAGGCTGAACATCAGAGGCATAAGCAAGGAGATAGCCCCCCCCCCACAAATTGATGTATTTATTTTAGCCTATATTATAATATAATACTAAAAAAATGATTTAAAAAAAAAGTCTAGGTAAAAGAAAGTTTAATGGGGAATTTTTATTGACTTAGTCCCATCCCCCTCCAGGTACGACACTGTTGGAAATCATCTATTTGTCTCAAGGAATGATTTCCCTTTTCCGTGCAGCGTTGTCACTGGATTATGTATTTTGTATGATAAGTTTAGCCGTTTAGGACCATGCAGGACTAATGAGTAATGACTGTTTTCCTACTCACTTTTGACGCACCGAGGTCATTTGTTTTCAAACGTTTAATGAACCAAAAGGAAAAACCCAAGCATTGGTTTTCCAGGAGCATCTAACATCAACTACTGCTTACCAGTCTTTGACAATTGACAATATAGTTTACATCTAGTCGCTGCAGTGAAAGCATACATTTAGGTGTAATGAAAATTATTCATCGTTACTAGAATGAGAAATTACATTTTAGTACCCAACTAGACACTAGTAACTACTATAACTATAGATGACTATATTAATTAAACCAGTCTGGCTTGAACATTCATTGGTAATTAAAAAGTAAACAATAATTAAACATAACAGCCATTAGGATGGATAACACTCTCACATAACTCTTACATATTTTACATTAAATATTAAATAATAATATTGTCATTAATGTTTTACTTTGGAACTTGAGTCTATTTAAAGGTCAAAATGTTTCATTAAGCTAGAAATTGCTTTGTTTTAAATATTACTACTTATTGAATATTGACTACTATTATATTATCCAAATAGTAAGGCGCAACCTGTTGCAAAGTCCCAAATAAAACTTTTTTATATACAATTAAACGAATAAATTTCCAAGATGTTTTAAATTTTATTCTATCAAATATATTGAACTGTATATGAGTTGGTTACCTAATGAATATACTATATAGCGGTTAGTGAATACTGAAAAAGTATTGGGTATTTGTATACAGTATAGTATAATAATATACTATTATAATAAAGGTTTGGTTTAGAATTTAGATAATGGACTAATAAATAAGGTAATTTTAATAATCTAAATTGGATCACATCATTTATGGATACTCGTGTACCTATGTAACAAGTAACAACATTTAATGCCCTAGGCTCCTCTTGTTTTTTCTCAATAGTCAATATAGCCCAGTATTTATTTATAAGGATATTTAAATAGACACTTTAATCACAGCAGTGTGTGGTATTATGGGGGTGAGTGATCGGCTTGCCGGATCAAGATAGTAGTTTAACTATTCCATGCCGTTAATAATAAGTAAAAAGATATAACAATTGGCCATGAGATAACCATAATAATATTTAATTGTATGCCAGTATGTATGTTGTAGGAGCTTGCATCAATCTATTAAATCTACTAGGAATAATAAATTGAAAAGAAAAGAAAAATAATATCAATAGTCACATTCATAGAGTAAATTGTTTTTTTTCTGTTATATATTTATCACAAGTGCACCAACAATAGTTACTGTTTAAATATTAAGTATAAAAGCAATAACACTATAAAATACGATTGCAATATTGCAATATAATATAGTATAAATTACATTAAAAATAAAAATTTCGTTGTTCTGATAATTTTGTTCAGAGATTCCTACATATACAGTAATTACTATTCTGGCACACTGTATATAGTATATACTAAAAATAAATAATTAATGTATATTAGTCATTGATAATATAAATAATATATATTAGTAATTCTATTATAAAATCGTACAAAATAGTAGTAAAACTGAAACTATACTTAAATGGATTTTCTTTGGTGGAAGATTGTCTAGACAATATACAGAATAGTGCTTAATATCAATGATTAGCATTATAGCATTGATAATTTATAGTATTACATAAAAATATATTTGTTTGTACATATAATGAATGCCAATTGACTAACTTCCTAATTTTTAATTTTTATAAGTGTTTGTGTATGAGAACTATTTTTTTAATAAAAAAAATTTAAGTTATCACATCAAAAAGATTAAAGCTGTAAACTCATTGTGCTAAGTTCAATTCTTCATTAAGCACCGTAAGTCACTTATCTAGTTTCTCGGCCAGCCAATTTATCAATATAGTCTTGTAATGGAGCCAATTCTCTTCGATCAATTAGTACAAATTCCTGTTGAAGACAAATAACAATTATCAGAATTTAATTAAATCTATACACAGGTAAAATAATTCTAAAAAATAATTAATATTCTTAGATAATAGTTCTATATTTAACATTAAAATTTTATAAATTCAATATTACCAATATTATTTTTTCTAAAATTTTGATAGGTGAATATCCAATAATTAAACATTGAACTAATAGTTGATATAAATTCTATATATTACAGCATTATATCATAAGAGTATAACGCTACTTTGAATAATATGTAAAATTAATACAGAAAATTAAAAATTTTAAACAAGTCATATAATTTGGCAACTGCTGTATTCATACAGTTCAGAAGTCGCTTTCTTACAAAAGCATGACCCGTTAAATTAATGTTTTGATTAATTGAATCTATTTGGTTTAGTTAGTTTTAATCATAAATATCTCATATAAGCAGCTCTGTATGAAAACTGAGAAGACAATAGGAAAATAACAATTGGCTACTAAGTAATGACCAACTAATAAATTTGATAACATGTTTGATGAGTCCAACTGTCCAAGGTATAATGTACTAGTATGATATTATATTGTAGATATTCAATAATAATTTAAACTATCGTACAATAAGTTATGGAATAATTTTTAATAATTCCAGTACATAAATAAACTACATATTTTTGTGTGAATGCGGCCAAAAATTATTAAGAGTATTTTATTTTCAATTTTTAAATTAAAATATTTGAAAAAGTTTAATATTTATCAAAACAAAATGTTTGGATAACAAATTATTGTATACGGTGTAGTATAATTATTGTATACTGTGTACTATAGGCAATCTGTTAGAGAGGCAGTCCGCTATGTATTTTATAAATAAAAGTTCTCTCTCTGTTAGTGCTTCTAAAATATTTTAGATTCTGAGAGGAGCAATGAATGTATTGATAATACAATGATGTTTTTATATTTTTTTTATTTGGGTCTGTGCACACGACAAAAAAATAATGCTTCGATTTTCATTTTCAGTATATTGTTTGATGGGAAAGTGAATCTAGTTAGTGCATTAGGAAAGTCAAAATATTAAATTACTAGTAGTTTTCAAAAGCATCGAAAAGAATAAAAAATAAGGAAAAACAGTAATTTTTACACAAAATAATTGAGTGAAAAATATTTTTAAGATTTATTAATGATTAGGTATTTTGAAAAATTAACAATATCAAAAAATTGTCTACCTTTAAAATTTAAACTTTTGTGGCGTGTATTAAGGTTAAGTGTCTTAGTTTTTTTAACAGAGGGGGGGGAGAACTTATAAAATTTATTTTATTTAAGTATATTTCCATAGTAGTATATACTCTGTTCAGATTAAGATTGAACCGCTGGCTTGACCAAAATACGTTTCATTCCGGACACCGGTGCGAGCGTATGCACGACCGCCATCACCGTCGCCAGCCAGCGATGACTGTCGGCCAATCACAGAACGCATATCCATCGCATGGGGGGTCAGGCACTTTTCGGCGGCTCAGTCTGAATGCGCGAAACCGGTTCAATCTTAACATTCTTAACCTGCCTAACTTTAACTATTACCTATACTAATTTAAAGATAAAACCTTTATAATATTATGATCTCACTATGTATTTTTCTTTATTATTTTAACTTTAAATTATTATGCTGGTTTTAAAAACTGGTTTTAAATTGAAAAATTTACAAGAGAACATAGTTAATGTTTTTATGTTTTAAATTTCATAAGTTAATTTTATTTAATATTAAAACTAACAAAACTAAATAGATTCTACTAAAAGTAAATATGCTTTGTTATACGTTCGTAAATCAAATACAGGTGATCTCTTATTTTAACATTGAAGTATTGAACGCAGAAAAACTGTTGATTAAAATAGCTAACTCTTTGTAATATATCAAGTAAGGAACTGAAAATAATTTGCTAGTTTACCTGAACAAAGTAAATAAAATGCTTAAAAGATGTGTTGAGATGTGCTTCCTCGCCCAGCGTCACAATTGAATCGAAATGTGTATGATATATATGTGCATACACCCTGAATAACCGTTTAAGTATTGTCTTAGCAATCGATAAGAAGTTCTTAGGAAATGGGACACCGATTTTTGAAGGGAACAATGTTTCGTCATCCAATTGATCCTGAACCCAAGTCATCAAATAATCGATGTATTTTGGAGCAGAACACTTGATTGGTTTCTTTACAGTCAGGCCATCTGCCCAATGATATTCATATTTGGGTCCAGCGGACATTATAGAACAACTTTCCTCGGTGCAGAACTCTGTTATTGTACCATACAACATGTTTATTTGATTGAAAAAATCAACAGCTGGAACAAAATTTAACATTGTTTAATACTACAATATTTTTATTAATATGTTGAAGTTTAAAGATAAATGTTTATTATAAACTAAAATATTGAGTAAAATTATATATATTTTATTCAAATTAATGAAACTAGATTAATTGAGGTATTATAAAAGTTATTCCTAATCAATTGAAATGATATACAAATATTTATAATTATTTAATTCAATTAAATAGTTTTTCAAACACTGTATAAGTAAAATATGTTAACTGTTTTGAATACTGATTAAATGGGTAGGTACTTATGTTTATGTTTCCTATATATTCCTATTTCCTGATACAATTTTATTAAAATTTTATTTTTAGTAATATTTAAAATAGATAGGTATACTATATCAAAGAAGCTTTGTTAAACACAAAGAAGTATAAATGAGCATTTACCGAATAAACTTAAAATAGAAAACATAGTTTAAGTTAATACTACAATATTATTTAGGTGAAATGTGTTCCTAGAAAATTTAAAGTTGAAAAGATTATTTATCATATACATAAATACCTACATAATTATTACACTACACTTCCAATTATAAACAAGATATTTTTTAATATTATTATATTCATTATCTACCACAAATTGAATACAGAAGAAAACATGAGAAACAATACTTATGTCGATAAGACTAATAGTATAGTTAGTAACAATTAGTAGTTTAATTATAGTTGAATTAAGACCCAATAGTTATGATAGTAATATGGTTTTTACCACCTAAAAGAATCAAAAAAAACAAAAAAACTTTTCAATTTAGTTATTCACTGACTTTTATAACAATCAGAAATTAATTTTAATGCATTTTGATTAGGAACTATTAACAAATTAAATTTAAATCATAAAAATGATCCCAAATATAAATTGTTACATAAGAGTAATATTACCATCACGATAGATTAAATACAATATAGAGAGGTGTATATTATCATATATCTTTTGCAACATTACTATTTTAATTTTAGAGATGCATATTTTTTTAATTTTGTTGGTACCTTATTTAAGCTTCTTTTATACATATTTTGAATACATACTTTTTTAGTGAATAAATTATTACTTAAAGTTAAGAATGTGAGAATACACATTGATACTTACTGTTGACAGCAACCCATTCATTGAGATCTTCACCCTCTGGTAGTAGTACAGCCAATCTCAGATTGCCCGAACCAAGGGTGGCTGCAGCGTGCTTCATCAGATCGTATTGGTGGGTACCTTCTGGTATATTCTTCTTGGGTTTAAAAGTCTTCGATGATCTGCCTCCGCTACAACAAAAATAAAAAAAAAACTTATAACCATGAATAACTGTTGTGTGGAATGCCAGCTGCAGCCAATGAACATTGTAAAACACTCACAATAGGAAGCTCATTATGAATTTGCCTACAACATAAACCGGACGTCTCTTGACAAACGATCGTGATGAATGCCCTCTCGCAACAATACGAACATTTACCGACTACCTCAACACTAAAACGATCACTGGTATGGTACACCAGACAACAAAAACGAACGATGTCGGTGGATAAGGGTAAAAATATTAAGACACAACAATTAGCAAAAGAAACAAAAGAAACTACTTAATTCGTCTGTTACGTTACTGCATTGAGTGCATTGCAGGACGCAAAACTCGATACACATTAATTCAGGATCTGTTAACGACTAGAATATTATTATTATTATTATTACTGCAGTTTTCCGGAAAAGAGTTGCAACAACAAAAAAACCCATAAAATTATCATGAAATTTTATTTATCATGAAAACTATAATGTGTTAAATCAGTGTTGGTCAGCTGTTAAAGTGTTACACGGGAGTTGATAAGAAATAAATTACCACGGACTAAGATATACAGGACTGGACACGACAAGGTTGGAGGGTGTGGGGGGGTTGACTACGAAATGTTTTACAACAGGCAGTGTTCGGGGGGATATTTTCCTTTTAGCATTACTAGCGCCGTCTTAGTGGATACTTTTGGAACTAGATGACAATAATGTGATCTAGTTCCATAAGTATCCACTAAGACGGCGCTAGTAATGCTAAAAGGAAAATATCCCCCCGAACTCCGCCTGTTGTAAAACATTTCGTAACCACAATATTCATTTCGTGTCCAGTCCTGTATATCTTAGTCCGTGTAAATTACAATCATGAAGACAAGAACAAGGAGACCACGGTTATCTACAGTAGATAACCGTGAAGGAGAACAAACTCCGCTTCTGATAACGTCCCGAAACCCGCGTAGGCGCGTAGCATAGGGAATAGGGATTATTCATGTTTTTTGCGATTTTTGGCAAATATATGAATTATTTTGAAGTTTGAACCATGGGCATGACCCTCTTTAGATTTTAATTTTTGAAGCTTGTATGATTACGCATTGATATACGTCATGTTATAAACAAATTTGAGTGTAATAATATAGTGTAACACTGTAACATATATGATATATCGGTATAAAAAGATCGTTTAAAAAAATACACGTGTGGTGTATTGAATAGTATCGGTTTCAGACTTGGTGTGGACAGAGATATTATAGGTAGGTATAAAATAACTAGATATAATATAATATAATGTTAACGGATTGTATAATTTAATTATCTACACAAAAATAAAAATAATATTTATGAAATATAATGCATATTGTATAAAATATGCATTATGCATAATCTATAAAATCCAAAGAAGATCGTGGTTCCAAATAATGCATATATTTTCCAAAAATTGCAAAAAATATGAATACCTAATTCCTATACAACACGGGTTAAGTAGCCAACGCTAGCATTCGCAGCGCAACCTGTGCCTGTGTAATCGTGCGACTCATTTCGGTACGTTTTTTAATGTCGGCGGCCGTGCGAGTTTGGTCTCCCTCTCCTTATTCTAGTCTTCATGATTTAAAAAATAGTGTTCATCCCATGTCCATAAAGTTGGGTACCAAATACTTGTCCGACTAATGTCAAATTTAGTATAAGTCTCGGAGCATACATTAGTAAGTTATACGCACGGGCACGGACTTAGATATATCTTAGTCTGTGATTATACGAATGGAAATATGAATATGCGCGGAAATGGGTCGTCGCCCAGTCGCACTCTCTGCTTAGGATTATAGGATCGAGTCACTGAATCACGTCTTCTGGACAAATATAATAATATCATAGCTGGAAAAATGTCTCGTTAAATTTTCAAAATTTCATTGTGTATCTACTATCTATACTCTATAGTCTATAGTAAATACTACATAATGATACATCATCATAAACCTATTAACTAAGTTATTAATAGTTATTTAACTAACTTAGTTTATAGGTTTTTGTACCTCATACACACGTGACGCGTTATGGCGAAACGTTTCAAGTCCCTACGAATTATATATTTTTTTATAAGCATTCATAAAGTTCAAATTTCGACAAAATAAATAGTAAATAATAGGTATATTGAAAATTTACAAATTATTTTGCTGTTAAACATTTATAAAATGTTCAATTTGTAAAGCTAAGAATGAAAAATGAAAAATAAGGTTCCACGTATATAGTTCATACTGTAACCAACAATTTAGAAAATATAAAATAATATATAAGCACCGTTTTTTTTAAATAGTTTTTTGATGTTCAAGTTTGGACACATAGATCTATACATTTTGGCTGCTTGGGAACTTGAACGTGTATTAATTTTATTATTTCATACACACAATGCCATTTCAAAATGTTATGTTTTCGGCAAAAGTTATTAACCTACTGTATTAGTGTATTACTAATAGAAAAATAAATTACTTTGATTGCACTGCGATATCATAAAATGTAATTTGCTGTATAGAATCGTTTTTCATACCATTTAATTCAAATTAAACACATCCATTACGTCTATTATGACTCAGGTCACACGGCTTTAAATAACACGAATTGCGATCATTATTCTACGAGTATAATTTTAAATATTAATAGTACCTCAATTATTCAAAAAAAAAGAAAAATTGAAATATTGAAATATTAATGGACTGTTGCAAAATATTATTATAAACTTAAAAACATCAGGCATCAGCACTGTTTTTAAATTTATATTTACCTGTTCAGATTTCATATGGGTTAATTAATAATTATTCATTCCCGTGATCAAAAATCTCAGTATATAGGTATGTTGTATTGTGATTTGGAACGTAACAAAAAACATTGTTAGTTAACTCTTCATAGGCACTCAAACGAGTATGATCAGTGCGGCCAATATTCTATTGGAATAAATAAAAATAATAATATACCTACTTAATACGAAAAAAAAAGAATATATTTTTTCGTCGAGGTTTTTGTGGACAATTTCAATTTGTTTTATAGTGCAAAGAAAGTATATGGATTAAACAAATTCTTAGGCACGCAGGTATCCTCAAATTTTCAACTAATATTAGAACATTTTAGATACATCCTGATCCGACATTTGACAAACCAATTCAAACTCCGCGACAACACATTTTTTATCTAATGTGCACGAAAAGTAGGGAATTTATTGAAGCAAAATTAGAATTGAATTATAGCACTACACCTGTTATAGTAAAAACCTAGCACACACATATTCATGAGATTTTAATAACATTTGATCGGCATTTGGGAAAAAAAATCCCTGTAGCATTATACCGGGGATTGACTAAATATTAATAATTTATAAGGATTATTTTACAAATTATATTATAAAAATAAAATAAATATTGTATATTATTTTAAAAAATATTGTTTCATATACCCTAAAAATACAATATTAGTTTATATATATATATATATTATAATAATAATAATGCCGAAAGTTTCACCATCGTGGTATACATTTTTTTTAAAAGAGTGTTTCTGAAATGGATGAGGTAACCAGTATATGCGTACTCAATGTGATGGCCCAATGAAGATTATTTTGAAATTTTTTTCGATCTTCAAACTCTGGGTTTATACAAATTATTATTGGAACATTATCTCAAATGTAAAAATAAATAGTCTAGCTGTGTTTTTTGCAAAATTATCATACAAATCGAGGTGTCACATCATCATTTTTGCACTTGTCGCGAGTTTATCACGCTCGAATCGCCGACTAAAAAACAATTATTATTTTTTAATTGTATGGTGTATAGAAAATGCTAATATAAACATTCAGTGAAATTTTCAATTATTTACAGTTATTCGATTTTGAATTACAACAAAATAAGGAAATCGCTACATGAGAAATCGAGTATCCAATGTTGTAAAAATTTGAATTTCAAACGATCATAAAAATTTAATTTGACTTTCTTATATACATTTTTTTTTTTTTAATAAAGGTAGATAATCTTATAAGGAATCTTGTATTACATTTTAAAGAACAATTTTTACAAATTCTTAACTCAAAATAATTTGATAATTTTGAAAATTGAAGAAAAACTAAGCACTTTTATTATCCTAAAAGGTGATAACCTTAAACGACATATATAAAAAAAAAAAACACACATCATTGTAAAATCACTACATTCATCGTTCCACTCAGAATCTAAAATGATAAAATAATAACAAAATTAAGGTTAACAAAGTTTTAAATGATAGAATTTACTGACATACATTGATAAATTGATTTGTGTGATTTAAAAGTACAAGTATTTATTACTTATGGTAACTTTTATCTGTAATGTCTATTATAAAATAATTAATTAACCGTAATTTGTACATAAAGATCATTAGTTGATTTGATTATAGCCGAGTTCAATACTGGATATTGAACAACACTTTAAATTTATGTTTAAGATTTAAGTTTTTAATTTACATTTTGAACAATAGAGTACCTACACTAACATTGAATATTCAGAAAGAACAGGTTTATGCCAAATAATTACCTAAATAATAGATATGAACTTATAATGAGAATTAATAATAGCTGACTTCATTCATCAAACACCAAATTTGTTAGAAAAAACTTGGAATTCATTACATCGTCGGATCGAAAGTGCATCGAAGTTAACGGGAGGCGTATTAGGAAACCCAGGACGCCACAGAGCGCCTTATGTATACCACGTTCTCATTGGCCCATTTCAAATTGCCCGCTTTTTTTTTTATCATTTATCAAATAATTTAATTTAATAATATAATATTAATTTAAATATTATATTATATTATTTAATTTAACAAAATTAAAATAACTATTTAGTAGGAAAAGGTACTTAACTAATATTAAACAATATTATTATGTTATTATAATTCAATAAATTAATGTAGAAAGTGATCTCTACACAGTTATTTTTATTATTTACTTTAGTAGGTACCTATACCTACCCCAGAGTGGACATTTCTTACTGGACTAAGTGTATTGTACTTGTACACACCTTTTGTTGTAGCTAAAAAGATTGTCTAGGTTCTTCCTAACATAGAAACAAAATACCA